AGTCACATTTTACTTTACCTGGCTGCAAACTCTCTTTGCTCGCTCGGCTTACACTGCACAAAAAAGAGCAATCGCGCTGGTGGTGAAAAAGGCCGAGTGCTCTGAGTGGCAGGGAAGCAAAGTCCATTACTATTAAAAAAGTTTTTTTAGAGCGGCCAGGGAAACTTTGTTTGTGGGGCCTAAGCACAAAGATGACATCAAAGTTGTGTGAGTTTAATGTAATGGCAAGTGCGGCAAACTGGGCTGTGCCAGTTGCCTCACATGTTTAGCTGCTGTCGAAAGTTAACTCCGGCCGCTCCTTGGACAGCCTTTGGCAACTTTGTTGCACAATCGAGTACGAAATTCACTCGACTGGATTAAAAGATTACCGAGGAGATTATGAATCCCGGGTGGTGGGAGGGCAAAGAGAGAAAGGCAAAAAATGCCGAACCCTTCAGTTTTAGAGTTTGGCTGGTTGCAAGTTTTCCTTTGAAGCGAAAATCTCCAATATGTTGCTGGCAAAATATCTGCCCCGACTGTCAGTGGCAGACAACCAATTCAATTTCAATTTAAACCTTTAACCCCCACATCTCAGACCCTAATTTAACGCGTTGACAATTTTTAATTTTTATTTAAAAACTTTTGCTTGGCTGGCCCTCAACTGAACTCAAATCAAATTTTTTCAGCCTCTCACCTTGCCGAAGTCTGTCCGAAAAAAGTTGTTTTGCTCATTAGAAATGCGAAAGGTTTTCGCTTTTCCGGCCACCGCAACAAGCAGCAAACTTTTTGCATTAATTTCATTGCTCGCACAGAAGTTGAAGCTCGAAAAAAACAACAGGAATGACAAGCCCTGCAAAGAGTTTTCCAAGAAAAAAGTTTTCGATTAAGTTGTGGGCCCTAAATTTTTTTACCAAATGTCTTTGTAAGCTGTCAGAGATTTTCAGCTTGTAAATTGCGTGTCCGGTGTTGTTTTTCGTTGGCCAAATGAAGTGCGCAGATTGTTTACTTGGGGCACGAGACGTAAAAGGATTACCAGGGGACACTCGAGGTTTAAGGCAAATGTTTTTTAAAAGGACCTCAAGGTAAAGGACAGAAACTTTAATGGTTTGCCTAAAAACTCGTTAATAAGTTGAAAAGATACTCGTATTTAATTGAACTCTTTTGCGAATAGAATAGTTTACAATAAAATGTGTACCTTTAATCTACGTATTCCTATGAGATTGCAGCCAACGGCTTTGTTGGCCGCTGTGACCCGAGTCCTGGGCTCCGGTTCGGTAATCCGCCCTTCCTGGCCAGCCTGCCATTTCATGGCCATTGACATGGCCGACTCCCATCGTTGACCCCATGGTGCTGACCATTTGCGATGGCTCTTGGCCAGAATCGTTTGTGACAGCCACTCGAACCGGAGGAGCGGTGAAAAAACGCACTGGACAGTCGGCTTAGGATCCACTCCTTTTGGCCCTGCTGCCTCGATTCTGTGACGTCTCTGCCAGGACTGGCACATCACCCGGATTAGCCCGGCAAAGTAAATTTCAAAGCCGGCATAAGTTGAGTTTTGTCACGCGCCGTACGAAAAAATAGCCCAAAAACCAGAACGAAATCGAAGAGGATGGAATCGAATGGGGCCGAAAGCAATGAAATGGAAACCGTGCATGCGAAAGGCGTATTATGTTTTCAATAAAGGTATATGTGGCAGCCACTACAGCCACTACAGCCACTACAGCCACTTTTACCCCGCTTGTCATGCAAATCTGCAGCCTGGAAATTTTAACACTTGAGCGATTTTGATCCGTCGACCCAAGAAAAGCTCCTGAAGCAAACATGAAATATGCCACAGAATCTTTTTCGTTGCCGGCCACAGGAATGTTTGGAAATGCCACCGCCCTAATCCAATCCCACAAACTAGAGAGGGAAACTGCCCAGGGCAAACAAATAACGAAACCCGCTCGCAACATTTCAGCAAATAATCGCATAAAGCATTTCGGACTGCCCAGCTGCTGGATCGCATATAATGTGTGGTCGTAAGGGCCATTTTTCGACTTGCGGAGGAGTTGGGGACGAAGGACCTCATTGTTTGCTAAGCGATTTGGTTTTGGGTCGCTTTTGTTGCTGCCGCTAACTGCGGTTTCCCGCCTAAAATGCTGCAGTATTAAGGTATTCCTCTTAAATACCCTGGAAGCTGCACTTATCGCCAAAAGAGTTAAGACCCATGTAACATGATACAAAGATTAAAGAATGGCAACTGCTCCTTAGAAGAAGGTATTTTCCTGCCGAATTTAAAAGTTCAAAGTAAAAAAAAGTTTATTGCCACTTCCTATTATAATGATATGATAACTATGATAACTAGCTTTAAAGCTTAAACTACCTAAGTAGCTTAAGAGGTCTTACAAAGAAATTAACTTTAATTACAATTACATATAACTGCGGATACTTTTCGCCAAGTTGGAAACATGTGCTCTTGTAGTTTAAATAAATCCCTCCAGACTCCCATCAGTTATTTGAAGAAGCGAAGCAGATGGAAAAAGGTCCTTTGTGAAATGTTTACATTTTCCCCAAGCCATTCGCTCAAATTTATAATCGATTAGACAAACTGAGCGTAGAGGAGATTTTCCTGGCTGGCCCCGGGGGTTTTCCCCGCCTGCCAACTCATTTCCACTTGTGTAAGTGCATAGGAAATCAACACGTAAAATTCCAATTAATTCCGCCTAGCTAAATAAATCGTTTCAACGCAAAACACAAACTGATCATAAAACTTAATAACCAAAGGCACTCAAACACAAATTCCAGCACGCACACATGGGCACTGCTTGGTATACGGATAGGGATTGGGATGGGGATGGGGATGGGGATGTGGATTGGGATAAGGATAATTGGGCATGTATGCGTTGTGTAAACAGTTTTTTGGGCTATTTGCTTATCGGCAGAATTGCAAGTTGGTGCGGCAAACTTTTTGTGCTGATTAATAAGAAAGTCCATTGGGGCAGCGGGGGGCACAAAAGGGGGAGGCCCATAACCAGGGAAATTGAGACATTAGCCAGCTGGGCACGCGATTCCGATTCAGATTCCGAATCCGAATCCGTTTCGCATCTTTGGGCACATCGCAAACGCATAAATCCAATTGAAAGTGCTTAGCTTTGATTTTCGCTCTTCAGCCCACTGCCGGACTTTCTCTTGCTGTATATATATACATATACTCGTATATACTTGTAGTATATGTCCGATTTGGACTGGCTTAGTCCCCCAGCTAGCCAACCCCCCACTTGGAGCTTAGTTCGGACCGGATCGGATCGGATCGGGCGTACGTGTAGGTTTTTATGCACGGCGTTTTCAACACTTGGACACTTGAGTGTCGAGCGTTACGTGCCGCAATTCCCATCGACAGAGTTATCAGGACATGTCCATATATTGATAAATGCTCAAAGTGAAACACACACTGGCAGAAACTAGTGTTAACATAGTTACTTAGATGACTTAATAAGATTGAAATGAAAGGGGAATCGGAGAAAACATTTACTATTCTCCTAAAATATATCTACTTCCGATCAAAGTTAGTTAAATTCTTTTGGAATTGAAAATGGCTAAAATAATCCAGATATGCTATGATATGATACATAGCCAAGTTAACCCATAAGTAATCGATTGAGCAGTCCCCACTTTTTGTCGCAGTGCAGGTGTCTAACTAACCTCTGCCGATTGCCCCTCCCCCTGCGAATAGAACAAATATTTAGCCGTATGCCTGCCAGCGGTGGAAATTAAGTCACGTCGCGGCAATCGCGCACAGCAGTTGAAAGTTTTTCCGAGCCGCCGACTGGGGGAGCGAGCGAGAGGGTCGACAGTCGGAGCGAGCGAGACGGGGTGCTTTTGTAGCTGGAATAAAGGCTATTTGGCTGAGCGGAAAATGGTTTTGGCAATCTTGAAAGCGAAGCGTATATTGAAATGCCATTTCCAATGCAAATGCAGAATGGCAAAATTAATGATGTTCATTTCCTTCAGCCGGGAAAATTCCCCATCCCCCGTAAACCCCTCCACCGAGAGCTTACAGGAGAATTATGATTGTGAAACAATAGACTTTTCGCCATGGTCTGGAGGCTGAATCGTTTGCTGCAGGCGGCGTGCAACAAGATTTTCGCATTAAGCTGAAACATTGAAACTTCCCCCATCCCCACCCCTTTTTTCCGCCACCCATCGAAGGCCATTACCATTTTCGGTTAGCTGCAGTTTTGCGTTGCAGCTGACGGCGTCGTTTTTGTTCCCTTTGTTCCCCCATGCTGGCCAATTTTGTATGCACTTTTACCACCCCCCCGAGCCCAGTACACCGCCCCACCCACCGCACCAGCCCCCAAATGCTACCACCTCACCCCTTCCACCCGCCGCCAGTGCTTTCCGCTGTTGCTTACATTGTCACAGTTGCCGCTTTTCTTTGCATGCAAAGTTGGCTCTGCTCTGGGCCGCGTTCTGGGCCGAGTTCTGGGCCGGGCTTAATGTTTTTGCATTTCATTCGCATACCCCAGCTGCGCCACTTCTCCCGGTGTTTGCTTTGCCACCCAGCAGCAGTAAAAGACTTTGCTGCATTTGTTTAATTGCCTGAGAGAAACCAGTGAAAGGTATGAAGTGGAGTAAACGTGCCATGTTATTTTAGAAATTCGAAAGAAAACGTAAAGATTTTTCTAATATTATTCCAAGCTTTCAGAGAGCAATTATAACACCACAGGTTGAAACAATGTCATCTATCCTACGACATGACCTTTAAGTTTGGTTGTATTATTCTCGCAATGAGTTGACTGATAACTAGAAGCAGAACACAGAGTTCTTGGCAGGTCGTAAATATGCAACGTACTAGCGCAGCCCATAAAATGAAAATATGCTGCGACCTCGACAAATCACTCATCTTTCACCTTGCCCACATCCATTGCGTATTATACGAGCTGTCAGTTAGACATAATTCACGATTGTCAGTACCACCAACGAGCTTTATAAGGCGACAGATCAGTAAATTTCCCAGCAGTTGCTTGAGAGCAGTCATGGCATTCATTGTTTTGGCCACGATTTTGGTATTGTCCCAGGGGATCCAGTGCCAGGATAGTATATCCTCGGCTCCACTAAAAAAGCTAAACGCTGTCGTCACCTCTCGCTTGAAGGAGCGCCTTAAGGAAGCCTCAGCTGCCGATTTTGCCGGCCACTACGAAAGACTTCAACAAGCTGCCGATCTTCCGATCTTCCAGCTGGACGAAAAAATAATGGCTTATAATGAGCTCAATCATCTCCAGCGAACTGACGCCTCCTCGGGCTCAACCAGCGAGCCAGCGGTCCGGAATGAGACGGATGGAGCAGTCTTGCGACAGAACATGGAATTCACCATGTTCGAAAGGAGAATTCTGCGACTCCTTCGAAGGCTTGGCATTTACGATAGGTTCACTGCCCGCGTATTCAACGCCATCTTCAGCGATGAAATGCAGCTGCGAAAGCTGAAGAAGAAGCTGGACGAGTTGGGAAAGGAGGATAAGGACAAGGATAACGACAAGGACGTATTGTGGGGCCATGTCTTCGAATTGTTTTGATCTAATATATCCATCTTTCTTCTATGGCCTAAATAAACAATAATATTGCAGCATAAACTTTTGCTTAAGTTCTGGCATTTAAAATAATCAAAATGGTTTATATGACCAGAGTTTCCATATTTCGCATATTTGTCCTACTTCTTGTTTTGGAAAAATATAAATAATCAATTTTAAGAGCCCGCAGATTTATAATTCATACTGAAGATAATTTTCTCTAATGTATGAACATAACATAGGTAACACCTCTACGATCTTTTGAGCCTTTTTTTCAAGTTTGTCGACCCAGTTGACTTCTATTGAGTTGACCATCTCATTCCGTTCTTATAGAAGATGGCTGAGAGCATGCCATTTTCAGGCCACAATCATAAGTGTGCCTTCTATTTTCTTTATTATTTTCTTTCTTTATCTTTATGTGAATACACGCTCTCAATGTCTGTCCATCGTCCGCGAAAACTTATTTTTCCGGCAGGTGTAATCTCAGTGCGCTCTCAAATTATGCAATTAAAGAGTGAAACATTTTGGGCGCAAACTTTGCCTACCTCCGTTTTCCTACCTCGTTTTTTTCCCCAGAAAACTCACTCAACACTCACTTAGCAGCATGAATAAAATTAAACTCACGGCGCAAGTTTTATTTTTGGCAGCAACAAAAACTGCGAAAATTGGAAGGAACGAAAAAAAAGGCGAAACATACGAAACTTATAGCAAGTTGGGAATATTTCGAATACTGAATGAATTTTGCACATATTTCCAACTTGATTCCTTTTGCCCCCCAACCCCCCGCTACACGTTGGAAAAGTTTGCGTGGCAAGGCAAGTTTTTCCCCGTTTAGTTGTTGTTGGTGTTAATGTTTCACTTCTCAATTCTACTTTTAATTTCTGGCAAAGAGGAGCGCTGCAAAAAAGGGAAAGAATGAAATACTTTGATGGTAAAGTTGCTTATGGCGCTACTCCATAAGAAAACGACTGGGGGGAATGTGTGTCAAAATTAATTAATTTCATGATTTATGCACGAAAACTTTCCCAAAGCACTTTTTCACATTGAAAACACTACGCCGGGCTGCGGGTTAAGTGGTGCTAATGTTGGCCCATTGACCGCTGCCACACCAGCAACAAAGAGTGCAAAACTTCAAGTTAGCCCCAAATAGACCAACTCCCTGCTAAAAACTAAACAGGTCACGTGGCTGGCCTGCAAAATATTTGCCCAGCCAGCGAGCCCCACCAAAACTTTGCCACCTCTTTCGGTCCAAAGTTGGAGTCCCCAAAAAACTGGACTACCCAACAGTTGTCACCAGCACTTGGAAAAACATTATTAAAGGAAAGTTGATTTAACTGTATCATAGCTATCTATAAAGTTCCTTAATTACAAAAGCAAAAAAAAACCATACCTTCCTAGATTGTCTTAGCTGAAATAACTCATGTCATTGGAAAAGTGGCTTGGAATGCTCCCAACCAGTTTCTCTCAGTGCAGAGCTAATGCTCTTGCACTTCTGGCTGCTGCTGTAGGTGTGAACATTTATTTCAACACCATTTCTCTGATTAGAGCTCCTTCAGCTGACTCACTCCATCTACAATCTCGATTGGCAAAGTTCAGTTTTGGGTTTTCATTTCCATTCGGCTTTTCCCGCAACCCGCTCCGGGAAACTGCTGTGGAAATCCTTTCGGCTGCTTATCGTTTTTGCATTCATTTGTTTTCAATTGTAATTAATCTTGGCCAGGAAAGTTTTCTTTTGACATTTTGTGGCTCCTAGGGTGCTCCTTGACTTCGGCTTTAGTTTGCCGGGCTTCTGTATTGTCCTGGCAAAGTTGCTCGGGTTGTTGCTGCTTTTTGGACTGGGTGGCGATGGTAACAACATGTTACTGTCACAATTAAAATAAATTTTCTTCCCTAATTGAAAAGTGTCAAGTGTAATTTCTTTAAAGCTGCCCAAAAAGAAAAGTTTCTTGGGGCATATTTGATCACTTGCGTCGTTACTACGGCCATCAAATTAATTCATGAAAATGAGTTTTATTATTAAATGCTTTCTTTTCTGAAAGCATTTCTGGATATTACTAATAAAAGGCTGTTTTGGTGTGTTGATATTCATTTAAATCTTCAAATAAATTTTAAATATTTATATATGCCAAGATATCTCAAATATAGCTTCAACAAACATTTTGACCTGCTTAATAATATGTTTTAAGTGTCCAATTCCTATTGGAAAAGGATATACAAGTTTATTTAGGCATATTTAACATTATATAATGTTTTTTATGAATAACTTTGGGTTTTAACATGTCCAGCAAACCTGAAGGCCGCTTAATCAAGCAATTATAAATACCTTAGCAAAGTTGAGTCTTACGCAGTTTTTGCTGCACAAGATAATCCAAGATTAAGAACTAGAGCAATCGAGTTATAAGGTATTTTGCATTGCATTAATTGAAATTTTTGCCACATCAAAGGGCACGAAAAAGCCGCAAAAACACGGAAGCCCGCTCAAGCCAGTGCATTTTCCTCACCGCCAGATGCCAAAGAGATTTTCCCACAAAGCTGCAACCGCAGGAGAACTAATTACACTAAAGTGTCAAGTAAGAGAGAGTGAGCCGAAGTGCAGGAAAAGTGCCCAGAGTAGGGAAAAGTTTGCTGTCGAAGCCAGCCAGCCATAAGTAATGCCGAACTTTGATATAATAATTTATAAGAATATTTGCAAATTCCAATAGCGGCGGGCAAAAATATTTTCGCCCGAAAGTATGCAATCGCAAATGCACTCGCAGCTGGTCGACACTGAGCTACAAAAGTATGCAGCCAGGGCGATAACACAAATCCATTGAGTGGTTTTTGGGAAGGGGAAAGCGAAACTTTGCCCGGCCAGAAAACTTAATCCCAGACCCCAGAGCCCAAAGTCAAGCAAACAAACAAATGCCTTGCTTTCGGAGTTGAATTTGGGGGAGTTCTGGTGCTGGTTCTGGTTGCTGAGTCCCGGGTTCTTAAGCCGCCATTCATCAGTTTCGACTGGCCAAGTATTTAAGCCATTTTCTCTAATGAATGCGGTCGCGCATTTTTAAACGCCCACAAAACTATCCGAGGGTTTGAGTTGCTGGTTTTCGTGGCTGCTCACAAAGTTTGCCAAAGGAAAGTTCCAACTTATTCGAAACACGTGCAAAATTATGCTGGCCGCTCTCGGATTTGCATACCCTGTGTGCTGCGTTTTGGTTGGGTCCATTGGAAAATGCCTTTTATTTTGTTTATATATTTTTGAGGGAAATCAGCAAGAATGTCTTTTGAATAAATTGTGCTTTAAATGTTGTACTCATATTAAATAGTTGTGTGAGTTTTGAATAAAAGTGCGGTACTTATATAGTCGCAACCTTACGTTGACTACTGATAATTATTTGACCAGAAGGCCAGCAAAGGAGTAAATAAAATAAGTACGCCCAACAGCTATTTTTCCTGTTTTCGCAATTTTCAGGCTCTTAAATATTCTCGAAGTCCCCTCACTTTAGCTGCAAGCAAAATCGCAATAATAAAAAGATTATGGAACTCGCAGCCATTGACATTAAACGCAACGTGAGTGCCTTGAATAATTAGCGATGTCATTTAATTTTAGCCTTTTTGGGACCGCCAACCATATCAATGTCTGTGGGATAAAATAAGACCTTCTGCTCTGATTTATAGGTACATATGTGCATGAAAAGAGGGAATGAACTTGACATTGTTGCGAGATGAATGATCCACTAAAAACCTACAAATATTTCAAGGGGGCGATATACTAACCCAACTTATTTCAATGCATTCAACTTTCTATAATCTATAATACAGTTCAATTTTTAAAAGGTATATATGGGCACTCTTCGGCGCCCAGTGATCGCCGCGCGATTAGTTTATAGAGTGCAGTCCAAATGGGTCATATCCACACCCATTAATCCCCCGAGCAATATTCAAATTGTTCGAGCAGCGCAGCCAAATTAGATTGCCACCCACTTGAGTGTCTACTTATAGAGCCTGTCAAGCAAACGGCCAAACTAATCCGCCTGACAAAATGTCATGGGAAAATAAAAATAATAGCAGGAAACTCACCTAGCATCGGAAGAAATTAGGAAAACACTTAAATAACAGGGAACAGATGTTCTTTTATGGTTTTGCTTGGCTCTGATCGGACAGCTGGCGAAACAGCAAATCGATCGGAGAACCCAAGAGATGCGGCTCCTCACTCTGATTTTCCGATGACGCCCACTCACCGACGCTTTTCTCTCCGTGCGGTGGACACTTGCCGACAGTTTTCCACCCCCCACAAACTTGGGGTACTAAACAGAGCAAGAAGTGCAGCGAGAGCGGAGCGTCAAATTAATTTGTGTTTTGATTTAAATTATGGTCAGCACAAGCAGTTTTCACATAAGCACCGCAGCATCGCCGGCGGCAGATTCAATTAAATTCGAAATAAATACATAGAACATGCATAAGTTGTATTCCTCGCAATATTATCTATACTTATAATTTATATTCCGGAATAAATAACGACGGGTCCGCTGGGCGGCTCCATGGACTGTCAAGTCGATCGCCGCGGATCGCCCGGCAGTGCCATCTTGAACGTTCCGCCAGCCAAACGCGAGAAAATCGCGCGCATCGTCGTCGCCGCTTCGTCGCCGCCCACTCGCATTTTCACGTTTACACGGCCGAAAAGAAAAGCGCACACACACGGATATAAAGTGCAATATACGAGCACGAGTATATGAAATAATATTTCTGTGGCCCAGTGCAGTTTTTTTGGAAATCATGTCACTTGCGGTGCCAGCTCAAAAGTGTGGAAATTCTAGCCACCGCGTGTGAGGAAGTGCAGTTAAAGTGCCAACTGATCTCGAAATAGAAAAGAAATTCAAAATGAATATTATGAAGTATTATCAAAATTGAAAAAAAACACGAAAAAATTGTAGAAAAGTTCCAAACAAAGAATTACCTACGACTCCAGGAATGCAATAAAACCAAGTTAATTTCCCAGTGCTGGTAATTTGCCTTGGCCATTGTTT